CTCTCTCTCTCTCTCTCTCTCTCTCTCTCTCTCTCTCTCTCTCTCTCTGGGCGACATAGATGAAATAGTGATTTGAGCTTTTCCTCTTCTCTGTGCCAGTGGAATGGGTCAAGACATAATAGAATGGATAATATATTATCTATTATGTTCTATAGTATAAGACAAATAACATGTTTTTAATACATTATTTAATCCATTGTTGATGACATTTCTATTTTCTTTGTGTATTATATCCTTGAATCCTTAAACAAGTCATTTGGACCACTTCAAACTTTTGTTGCATCATGGATTTTGGATTGTTGCTGCAGTGCTCGGCAGCAAAAGTATTTTCTTTTGACCCACACTGAGATTTCGGTCACAATGAAATAGTTGCATCACTCAATTCCTGACATTCCTTTGAAGGCAAACCAGATCCCATGTTCACGATTTAAAATGTAAAATCATGTCGCCCCAACCTCATCAACCTCTTGGCTCTTCTTTGAATCTCAGCCTCTCCACTCAATCTGTACCTTTCTCTCTACTTTTGTCTGCTTTTTTTTTTTTTTGACCAGCCCTTCATTGTTGCTGCTGCTTCTTTTTCTCCATTTTAACAGAAATGTAAAATAAAGCCATAATAATGCGTCCTCCCACAGCTGGAAAACTAAGCAGCAAACATCAACCCAACTAATTCCATTCAGCTTCCTGGACCTGCCTGGTACTAAAAAACTATAAAAAAAAAAACAGCAAAAGCAACCACTCTCTCCCACCGTTGCTCCACCTTTAATTCTGGCATCCGTCTTGTGTGACATCACGTCTTGCTTCTACTACTCCGCAGTGTGGATGAGAGACGAGTCGCTCTTCCTCTGCTTCATTTGTCTGTTTGGAACTTCATTTAACATGTTCAACCATCTGTCCATGTTTTAAGTGTTTCCTCAATGTTTTATTGTCGTGTCCCGTTGTGGATGCACTTGGCTCCATCTCTCATTCTCTGGCTGTTCTGAATTAAGGTTTGTTTTGATTTGCGTTTTTTTCAAGGTGGGGATAGATGAGTGCCTGGGAGCGAGCTTCGCACATTCCTCCCTCTCTGAGTGGCGGGTATATTAACCAATCAGCTCCTCACACACTGAGCTCTCTCCTCCCTGTTGATCTCAGGATCAGAAAACAAACTGTCCTTTAGACTGTAGGCGGACATATATGGAGCGTTATTAAAATTTGTCCTGGTTTACCGTGTTGCTGCTGCAACTACTTGGTTGATAGTCCACTTTACTATGCAAGAGGCTCTGATTACATTTTTTTGCAGAGGTATGAACATACGTTACAAAGGGCACAACATGTCTTCAGTTGTTTTTATATGACACTTTAAAATGTTGTATTTTAATAAGCAAAAGGAATACTTACCAAATCATTTAGGGAAATGCACTCGTAAAGAATTAGATGAGATGTTCTTACCTGCTTATGTCTGTAGGATAAATATTAGTTTAGCTTAGCATAAAAACTGGAAACGGCTAGCCTGGCTCTGTCCAAATGTCGCAAAATCTGCCTAAATATGCTTTCCTTATTTAATCTAGGAAATTGCTGCTCCCAGCCAAGTAATAATTATGAACCTAACTCGCACATAAAACCACAAATGTTAATTTTTACACTTTGTTTTTGTAAAACATAGTAAACAAATGAGATATAATGTGTTAATTAAACCCTCTAAACCCGGGATCTTAAGTGCGAGCAATTTTCTCTCTTATATACAAGTGATAGTATGCAACGGTGAATAATGTTATTAATAATTTAAAAGGCTTAAATCTGACTATGGTTGGCCACAAAAATGTCCTTATGTGTTATTCTGATCGATCGGAAATAAATGGACTTGTAGTCACTGTTGATCCTCCTGCTCCAATGTTTTCTTTAGTGCAAGTCTACAGTCTAAACACCTTTTTGGTTTTGTCAAAAAGAAAGCTGTACAACCAACTGGTTCGTGGAGGAGGCTGGTGTCTGGTGACCTGGTAAATGGAGTGTGTGTCTGGGAGGAAAAAGGAGTGGTCGCTAATGTCTCTCATAACGTCAAAGGAAAATCTTTTAGAGCTCACGTTCAAATGCTAAAGAAATGAAGACAGTTTAATTAAGCATCGTCTTCTGAGCGACAGTGGTGACCACTCTTCCCCTCGACACCGGGTTGGCTCAGAGGGAGGGGTGGGCGGGGCATGAGTCTATCCCTGAGGTAACAACTGCTCCTTCTGGCTGCCACTCAAACAGAAACCCCTCTACTACCTTCTGTTCTAACTCTCCAGTCTCTCCTTGATCCTGCGGCTCTAACAACTTCCTCCGTATGTTTTTTTTTTTCGTGTGTGTGTGGGGTTGGTACGTTACAGAAGCAGAAGAACATTGCCGGAGCGCTGGCTTTCTGGATGGCCAACGCTTCAGAGCTGCTCAACTTCATCAAGCAGGACAGAGACCTGAGTCGCGTCACGCTGGACGCCCAGGACGTCCTCGCCCATCTGGTCCAGATGGCTTTCAAGTCAGTCTGTGTGTGGTTGTGTGTGTGTGTGTGTGTGTGTGTGTGTGTGTGTGTGTGTGTGTGGTTGTGGGGTATGTCACATTGTGGGGTATGTTGTGGGGTATGTCTGTGTGTGGTTGTGGGGAATCTGGAATGTCATGCACATTTCAAGACAGGGGCAGGCTGGGAATTTGGTCCCTACTCTGTGGAGGTCAAGGAATATGAGTTTGTGAGATGATTGAAGAAGAGCTTTTCTGTTTGGTGGTGAAGTCTTGATGTCTTTAACACGCTGTAATGTGTGCATGCAGGTACTTAGTCCACTGTCTGCAGGCTGATCTAAACAACTACATGCCTGCCTTCCTGGACGACCCCGAGGAACATAATCCACAGAGACCCAAGATCGGTAATACACAAACGCACACAGTGTTTCCCTCCCATTTTGGCTTATGGCCCTGATGAATGAAGCAGTGTCCACTTGCGACCCCTCTTCACTCTGATAATGTCTCTGAGCAGAATCATTTTTAAGGGTCTAAAGAAGTAAAAAGTAAAGATTTCAGAAAAGTCTGAAGATTTTTTTGTTATTGTTGCCGTGGTGCGTCCCAACACTCAAGGTTGGAAAGATTCTTAGTGTCAGGCACTTAATAAAACATAGTTATGAATATTGTGTTTCATGTCTGCCACTTAATCCCCCATAGATGTTACACACTGTTCCTTTAACTCCCATAATCCCAGGTTATCACTGCTATCCTTAACCTCCCAATGTGAATTGAATGGTTGGCCGTCATTGAGTGTATATCTGACGTCTATTCTTCTCCTTCCAGAGGACGTCCTGCACACCTTGACGGGGGCGATGTCGCTGCTGCGGCGGTGTCGGGTCAACGCCGCCCTGACCATCCAGCTCTTCTCGCAGCTCTTCCACTTCATCAACATGTGGCTCTTCAACAAGCTGGTGACGGACACCGAGTCTGGGCTGTGCTGTCACTACTGGGGGGCAATCCTCCGGCAGCAGCTCAGCCACATCGAGGCCTGGGCAGAGAAACAGGGTCTGGAGCTCGCCGCCGACTGCCACCTCAGTCGAATTGTTCAGGTAAGAGGACGGATGGGGATGCGAGCAGATGCTCGGACTGAGAGGGTCATGGATTTTGTTTTATTCACAGGGTTTTTCATCTTTGTTTTTTCTGCTTTTTAGTGAATTACTTCTCTTGCCAGTTTTTCCCTTCTTTATTTGCTGTTTAACACTCCAGATCTTTAATGGTCTTTGTCACTCAGAGTGGCAGTTAAGCTCATGCTCGGATTGCCGCTATACAATTTCTTTTGAAAAGATAAGAAAAGCAAGGATACTTGAAGATAATTTACTTGTAAGGTGCAAGAATTGACTGAAGTGAAGTACCTTAAGATGGTAGTAGAGATAGTAAATTGGCCAAACAGTAAGCTTGGAAACTACAGACAACATGAATACGATATACAAGGAATGTGGCTCATTGACATGTTCTTTTCTCTGTGTCCTCCAGGCCACCACCCTGCTGACCATGGACAAATACTCCATGCAGGATGTGCAGAACATCCACAACACCTGCTTTAAGCTCAACTCGCTGCAGCTCCACGCTCTCATGACCAACTACCATTGTGCTCCGGACGAGCCTTACATCCCGCCTGTAAGCCAAAAAGCACGGAAGCACAATATAGAGCGTTTATGATGCACACACAGTGTCTGTTTGATAACGTCAGCTTTATGTCAATCAAGTCAGCTGTTATGAACATATTGCGATTTGCACAGATGTCGAAAACGTCTTTTCTGGAGCTTCAGATGCAATGAACCAGCCCGTTGACCTGGTTTTGTGTGTTTGTATGCAGGAGCTGATAGACCACGTGGTGGCAGTGGCAGAGAACACAGCAGATGAGCTAGCGAGGAGTGATGGCAGAGAGGTTCAGCTGGAGGAGGATCCGGACCTCCAGCTGCCCTTCCTCCTTCCTGAGGACGGCTACTCCTGCGACGTGGTGCGCAGCCTCCCCAACGGCCTGCAGGACTTCCTGGAGCCGCTGTTGCAGAGAGGTAAAGTCACTGGGACCAAGATTTAACAATAAAAGGAAATTCTGTCTTACATTTCATGTAATGCAATTACGTTATCAAAGAGTTGGTATACCCTAGCTGTTTTTTTACACACATAATTTAGATGCATGACTCAGTGAAAATGTATTGTAAAATGTGTGTGTGTGTGTGTGTGTGTGTGTTTCTTCTAACAGGTTTCTGTCGGTTAGTGCCCCACCCCCGTTCGCCTGGTACCTGGACCGTCCACTTTGAAGGAGCTGACTGCGACAGCCACTTCTCTGCTGCCGACAGTTCTGAGATGGTAGGACATTAACACATGTACACTTTCTAAACCACTCTGTGTGTGTATGTGTGTGTACTTTTGTGTGTCAGCCCACTGGGACAGCTGGGGTAAAGTGAGGCCAAAGAGGACTTTGAGCTTTAGAGGGTTAGTAATGCTGACTCATAGAAGCTGTGGAGACTCGAGTGTCTGACAGCTAAGACGGAGACAAAACGTGTCCGCAAAGAAACTTTGGGGACTGCTAACACAATCATCTCCATGCTGCACTGAGATGACTTTACTTTGAGACTGATCAATCAATGAGGAGAATTGTGTTCAAACCGCTCCAAAATAATTCCAATTGAGGAATAAAGATGAGTTTCAAATCTACATATAGTTTCTAAAATCATCTATGAAAATATTAATGCTATGGCAACATTTTCAAGATGGGAAATACTTTTATTTAGCAGTATATCTTTTATTCCCAGCCTTCACAATAGAATCAGCACAGTACAGCAATTGTTTATTAATTTCTTCATTCAAAGATTAATCGGGATGAACAGGAACCTCTGCAACACATCACAAGCATATTGGAGCACAGCAGACAACCTAAACAATGTGAATCAATATATACTTGGGATGTATGTTAAAAAAATTAAACAAGTACGTGTATAAATAAGTGTATTGTTAGTAAGGCTGTACCGAATAGTTTGAAGCTTCATTCATAACTTTGACATTCAAAGTCTAAAATCAACAGTCCAATGCTGCTCAGGCTTTTCTTTTTTTGTTTAAACACGGTACGGCACATTTTCAAATATAGATTAGCCTTCACTAATATTAATATTAGTATTTGTAGGATTAGATTCAAGTGGTGGATTGTTTCGACTACTGTCATCCGAATTTTTAAATATCTCCAGGGCGTTGTAAGGTCCAAAAGTTAAAATGTATTGAAAAGAGATGGATGTAATAATTTCACACCATGGTTTTATCTCACAAAATAATCTGCTTCAATCCATATTTGTTGGCTTTTGGCTTTCAAAAACATTTGTCACTCAAAGGGAGGCACTGATGAGTTATATTCATTAAAGAAAATTGATTCAATAAAAAAAAGACCAATAATTTAATCCGATGAATCGCCTTTTTTAAGGCTTTTTTTTTTTTTAAACATGAGACGACAGACATTGAAGTTTTATTTGAAAATGTCAACTGAAGCTTTGAATGTAAAATACGTCATTTGCTTCTGCCCTTTTATTGATATGCTTAAGATAAATGGTACTGGCATTAAGAATGTGACATGGTTGATTTGTAGTTCAAATATAGCTGAAGTTACTCACCTGAAGTATCCAGTATTGGCTAATATAGATAACATGAACTGATGGTATGCATCCACATTATAATGAGCTGTCTTCAGGTGCTTTTGTTGACCTTTTCTGGCTAAGCTCATCTTTCCACAGTACTGGATAACTCGGGTAAATTATACTGGATCTACTGGGTTTAAGGGAGATTGAACAGGAGTTTCAGTAGGCAAGACGGGACTAGATGAAAACATAGATCAGTTCCAGCTGAATGCAAGACTAAGAAAGGTAAAACCCCCTGAACAGAACCTCAGCTGGAGACAATAGGACGGCACAGCTCACATAGTTTGACTATTTTTAGACCTGGAGGTTTCTTTAATTTAAGTCCTGTGCGGGCTTGTGTGTGTGTGTGTGTGTGTGGGGTCTCCCAGTTGGAAGGCATTGATTACAGTGAC